TTTTCTAATTATCATCTTTCCAGAACCCCCAATTGACCAAACTTAAACATGAAAGGTTAACTATCCACCCAACCCTACAAGTATCGTTCACTATACTATTAGCGAACAAGATCACTCTCGCGTGATCCTTGATTTCCAAGATTCAATACACTCTTTCTTGGGTATGTTGAAATTTCCTCCATTAGAATCCTCTTTGGACTCCTATTTCTCGGTTGTCTCCTTTATGAGAATAACTGAAATCGTGTTGGTTCCTTTATACAGTGACCTAAAACACACTCCTAAATTCTTCCTTGGCTTATACTTTTAAAAATAGCGCCAACCGAAACTAAACTTTCGATCCCAAGTTCTGCTTTTGATAGAGAACTCGATAATATACTCCTCTACTCATTCGGGTCTGATCCACTGTCGCCTTGGACCCCATCCTCCTTCTAGTGTCAACCATTCCATAATTATGGAATATAATTGACATCAGCTGCTCCTCTTAACGAACCGTAAAAGAGTACAACGAATCCTAATATGGCTTTAAGTATTTAAGAGACGCAACGCGGAAGACTTCTAACGAAAGACACTCTTAAGGACACTGGAACCTAGAGTGCTCTGATACCAACTGAGATACTCCTCGATTCTAGAGCCACGGGTGATCAAGTCCGAGCACAGATCCGAGGACACCAGACAATCAATATGTAAACAAGTAGGAATAAAAACTGAATTAAAAATAAATTAACAATACGCTGAAAGAAAACTAAAATAAAAATCCTCACACTTTAAATAATAAATTTTAATATCATTTAAATCTTTTAAATTCGTACAATTCGGGAATCCATCTAGTAGACCCTTAATAATTACAACCGGTAAAACGTTTACAAACTTAAAATCCAAACTAAAATAAGAAAGAAAATCCTATGTAGTCAGAAGAGTGAGTGTCTGTATTTGCATCAACATGAACAAGCTCTAAGCCTGGTATCAACGAACACCTGAAAAAAATAAGAATGAGTCACGCCCACATGTAAGTTCCATTCTACCATAATCCGTACATAAACCCGATACGCAGATACATCCTAGATAGTTAGGCAATATCTAAAATAATCCATATATATATATATACACACTATAGGATGCTCCCTAGCCTATAACTTAGTTTAGCCTGGGTAGAAGGTGACATAAAACACTTTTTCCAGCGGCCAAGTACCTAGACCTATAAGGGAACATCAGCTATATCTAGCTACCCAACCTTTGCGATATACGCACCCTAACCGTGATCAGGAGACTCAAGCTTGTATCACGGTACCATAAGTATATATATAAATTCCTTCCTAGTGCAGAATGATAAAACAAATATCCATTATGTCGTTCAACTGTTTTAGTTGATAGAACATGCATCCATGTAGGACTTAACTGTTTTAGTTAATCCATTCCTTATGTATGAAGGGGTAGGACTTAGCTTGTTGATCTAATCCATCCCTGATATGTCACCGTCCCATATCGGTACATATAATGCAAATGATCATTTCCTTCTAATTGGGTCTCAGTTGGATCAGAACGTAACTTTGGTTTCGGTTGGACATCTATGTACCTAGCAAGGAGTTTTGGTTTTGTCTGTCTCACCGATTTGGGTTTGTTGAAGTTTACAGATTTTGGTTTATTGAAGCTCACTGATTTGGATCTATTGAAGTCACCGATTTGGGTATGTTGAAGCTCACCGATTTTCAGTCTATTAAAGCTCGCCAATTTTCGGTCTAACTAAGGCTCTTTTCTTGTCGGCGTAATGCTCCCTCCTCGCTTTCACCACCGCCACAACAGAGGTCTCATCAGCGGTGGCGACTACCTCCTCACTGACCTTGGTCGCTGCTAGTTATTGCAGCTTCTTTGTTGACATTAATGAAGAAGAAGAAGATAAAATAAATAAAATGCAAAAGGAAAAAGAAAAAAGCAGTACGTGACCGGCAGTTGCAGCTTCTTTGCCGGCAATAATGAAGAAGAAGAAAATAAAATAAAATAAAATAAAAAGAAAAGAAAAGGAAAAAGAAAAAGAAAAGAAAAAGATACACACACACACACACATATAAAGATGAAAAGGAGGAGTGGTTGGTATACATGATAAAATATATATATATAATAATTAAAAATTTATAATTATAAATTGGTTGGTGTAAATAATGAGAAATATAGACCTTCATTATATATATATATATATATATATATATAGAATAATTTTAAATTTATATTAGGCAAAAGTGCAAACAACCCCCCCGAACTATCACAAATCGACATTTTACCCCCTTGGACTACAAAAATGAATAAGTTAGTACCACAACTATTCAAATTGTACAAATTAACTCCTGAAACGCAATTCCAGCCACTTTCTGACCGACTTAATAGTATATTTACAAAACTACCCATTGTAATTAAGAAAAAAAATACTAAAATAAATAATCAACGTGAAATACCCTCCATGCCCCCAAACGTTGCCTAAGTGTTGTAACCTTCTCTATTTGTCGGCAAATCTGGTCGGCTTCAGAGGATGGTTTCCATTGTATCGGAGGCTGCGAAACAGAGCTTGTTGATTGTTGAGAATTCGGTGAAGAACGATGATGGCGACGGCGAGATTGAATCGGCAGCAAGGACTAAATCGAGATGTGCAATTTCAGGCAAGGATTCCTGGTTCGGCCGGCTGGTACAACGAGACAAATTAATTAATATTGACATATATATAGATATGGGGAGATAATTTAGACCAGATGATTGAGATAGTTGAAATGGACGAGATCGTGAGTGGATCAAAGTTATGTCTGATGATGAATATCTCAAGACCCAGATTGAGCAGAAGAGGCCAAAAGAATCAGAAGAAGCTCAATCAATTATTTAGTCGAAGCCGAATGTGAATGTGAAGGAAGAACCTGATATGATTATTGAGAAGGTGCCTGAAAACGGAGAAGTAGTGGGTTCAGATAGTCTTCAATCAACTAAGACTAAAGTTGTCTCCAATGATGAATGTGCAAAGATCCAGATTGAACAGGACAGGCCAAACGAATCAGAAAAAGCTTAATCCAATCATGGGTCGAAGTAAACATAGTTCATAGTGGGTGAGTGCAAAGGCTGCTACTGCAACATCGAGGATTGTTCGCTATTCAACCAAACGATCCGGCGAGGTAATCTCTATTTTTAATTTTCTTTTATTTTGCCCTTTGTTGTAGTATGCTAATGTTTTCTAAAATGTTCATTTTGTATGTGTGTGTGTGGTAGTATTAAAAATGCGAGATAGGTACTAATTTGTTAATTCACACTATCTGTGCATTTCATAATTCAGATTGGTTGTCTTCCTATGGAGTGGGCAAAATGCCTCATCCCACTGGTAAATTCTTCCAAGGTTAAATTCTTCCAGATTCATGTGCTTTCATTGAATTTGCTGGAGGCGGCGAGTTTACTGAATCACTCGATCGCCGAAGCCGACCATCGTAATCACGACCAGACTACGCCGCTTCACGTGGCGGCGACTCTTCTGGCATTGCTTCCCCCGACAAACTTGTATTCAATCCCATCCCAATTCTTCGCCCAAACCACTACCTCCGCCGTGGAACCCCCAATGTCCAATGCTTTAATGGCGGCGCTGAAGCGACGAGGTTGCCTGAGCTTGTTATATATATATATATATATATATATATATATATATATATATATATTATATTTACATATAGGCAAAGGGCTACAATGGTAATATTCCAGGGCAGTTTCGGAATTAAAAGAAAAAGACAGTCACGTGCCCACCTTGTAGGCCGGAAAATGGCCGGAATTGCGTTTCAGGGGTTAATTTGCACGATTTGGATAGTTGTAGTACTGATTTGTTTATTTTTGTAGTCCAGGGGGGTAAATTGCCGATTTGTGATAGTTCAGGGAGGTTGTTTGCACTTTTGCCTTTATATAATGAAAAGGCTATTCAAGTCATTTCAACTCTTTTTAAAGTCGACATATAGTTAGAAGGGTAGCAATACCATTTTACATACAAAAAGATATATGACACATTTGAAAAGTAACTTTTGGAGTGTAAGTGAAAAACGGGCCAAATATTTATAATGTGAGTGACCAAATCTAAGGATGGTGTCAGTGAAATTAATCCCAGAATATATTATGTGTTACATAGACAAAATAATAAAATATTTTATAAAACAAAAATAAAAAATATTTGACTCTAAGCTAGTAAGCTCCAAATTAGTGTTCTCCGTGGTTCATGATTAAATGGATAAAATGATAAAAAATGATTAATTATATATATAATAATATATTATATTATTATTTTTTGATATATCAATGCTCTAATTTTTAGAGATTTGTCATAGGATCGTGTCCTGTCCCGTATCCATGCTTTCTAGTCCTGCCCTGATTACCCAAAGAGATCAAACAAGGTAGGTTCTCTTTAATTTCCTCAAGCATGCAGTATATATATATAATGAAAGAAAAAATTCCACTCCAGCAGCTAAAGAAAAACAAAAAGATCGAGGCGTGGGTGGACCGTGCTTGTGTTTCATCCATATATATGAGTTCTGTTCAACTGTGCTAATATATATGTGCGCGCGCGCGCATGAATGAAACAAGATAGCAAGCAGATACGCAAACCGTTTGACATTTGAATTTATGTCAGCTTAGAGATCTGTACTTTGATATTCGAAAGGCTTCCCAATTTTTCTATTACAGTGGTAGATTAATTTCCTATAGGCTATTCCAATACTTTAATGCATGGTAATTGTAATTTGCTTTATGAATAAGAGCTATATATGACAATGAAACAAAAAGTGAATAGATTTATATTATTGAATTGCTAGAGATAGATTTATCTTTTGTGTAAACATCAACAATTACTAGGAAAACAGTTTTAAGATAATTATAAAAACTGTTATATGAAATTAATTATTATTAATATTATTTTAACTCGGTTTTCATAAAATAATTTTTAGATACCTTCTTGAGAATAGAAAATGATTTTCAAAAACCGTAGAAAAACAAACCTACTGATGTACCTTGACATTTTCAGCTTCTTTGATGGCATCAACAAGCTTGAGCTGCATCAAAAGGTTGTGACTCCGAAAATGCACCCCGGAGATGGCGCAAATGACCACATCAACTTGTTTCACGGCGTTCACAAGGCTCCGGTGATCGGAAAATGAGCCCTCAATAAGGTGAGTTCCTTGCTTCTTGAAGGACAATAAAATCTGTAACTTGTCCATGTCGAGGCCGATCTCGGGCCGTTGGAGGACATAGGTTTCATGTCCCTGTGCTAAGCTTGCCTTAACAATCCTGCGCCCAATGTACCCTGTGCCTCCCACAACCAGAACCTTGCTCTTTGCCATACTACTACTAGCTTTTCTAATGTGTGGCTTCAGAGGTCAGAGAAAAAATAACTTATATATATATATATATACAATTTTGGTCATGGGTTGAGCTTGAATTATGTGTGTGTATATATATCTGTCCAACTTTACGTAATAAAAATAATTACTTGAATAAACTTTTAAATCCCGGTAAAAATGAGGTACAATATTCTTTGAATTTTTTTGAAAGACTTGAACCCTTTGTTTTCTGTTGAATAAATTATTCCTTTAAAATGAATGTATTAGAGAAAGTAAAAAAAAAAAAAAAAAAGAGTTATAGTATAAAGAGTAATTATGATATTATAAAATAAGGATTGATGAGCTTATATATCTATCTATCATTTAGTTGAAAAGAATTAAAAAAGTAGAATTTAATTGTAGAAAAGGAAAGTTTTTAAAGAGATGAAGATAATTAAAGGAAAGAAAATTGGAGCCACAAGGTATGTCAATGAATTGGTACGATGTTTCTATCCTATTGGATAAATTAATTTCCTAAAAAGAAAAGGAGAACTACTCTCTTGCTTCTAAATATACAATGTACTTTTAATATTTCATCATGCTTGAATGTATTGTCAAGTTATGACCCTGATAGACATAACAGCGTTGGTGGAGATTCAGGAAGTAAGTTATTGAGATATCATTTTTGAACTACACTCTTAACTTAAATGGTGCATGTATTGTGGGACCGATACACATGCTTTAAGGAAGAAAAAAAAAAAAAACTTATTGTCAAGTTTATTAAATTGAAACTCAAATCAATAATTATTATTATTTTTTATTGATAAAAAACACACATCATTCATATACCTATTTTGTTCCTTTGAGAACTCAAACTTTCCCATTCACTTTAAAATAATAGGAGATATATCACTTGCCACAAACTCATGGTAATAAGTAAAAAATTAAGAGGCATTATTTTAGATTCAAATTTGATATAAATGCAATTGGAAGGATTTGACGCAATTATTACAAGAGGATGACGTCGAATATATATCGAGAACAACTTATCGAAAAATAAAAAATCATATATATATATATATATATATAGAACACATGTATATCACATGTATGTGGAGGATCCAATATGCGTTCAGAGGCATAATAGCGATGGTAGAGATCCAAGAAGTAAATTTTTAAGGTCTCGCTTTAAACCGTATTTTTAACTTAAATAATTTGTGTATTGAAGGGCCTATACATGTTTGTCAAAATAATAATAATAATAATAATAATAATAAATATGGTGGATGATGCAACGCATTTTATAAAATACGGAGTAAATGATACGGTGATGATGAGCATCAACTTTATGACTTTAATTGATGTTGAATGGTTAATTGCATATATGTAATACTACGAATTAGGCAATGATGGTGATAATCACGATTAAAATATATATATATATATATATATATATATATTGTTTATATTTTACATAAAATAATTTTTGATAAACCGCTGAAAATGTTCTAAAGATGGTGCTAAATTTTTAAAAAATGATAAAAAAACGCCTACTCATTTTTAAAGCCTACCGAAGAGAAATATTCTATTTTATTGATGCTTACGTAAGAATTTTTGTTGAACACTCTTTATTAGAATCACATCAAAAAAATCCCCAACTTATTCATGGTTAGAAAAATGGAGAGGGTGAGGTATGATAGTCAATTGGGTTTTTGACTTATCTCACATAATGTCTATTTAATTTCCTAAATTTGCTTTAAACCGTTGAATATCATCAAATAATTAATCCATTCAAATTGCTTGCAATGTACGGTTTACAACATCATCATTAAATCAGATTCTCACATACTCCATTTGAACTTCAAATTTCATGATAAATTTCATTAGTATTTATGAATCTTTCTAATGATGATGGTTTGTGATGCAAGTTCATCATAATCATCTCAAATGCTACAATTTAATTAATTTAACACCTTTTTGAACTCTCCTTTTTATCTTTTTGATACGCAGATATTAAAAATATTTAGGCGAATTGCATGAAAAAAAAAACTCCTATTTTACTTATTTATTTATTTTGGCAAAAAAAAATTCCCTAAAAAAAAAATGTCAAGGAATTTTATGCAATTTGATAAAAAAAATTCTCCTTGGTCAAATTGCATAAAACCCCTCGACTAGGTGGGGGTATTTTAATAAAACTAACACCCCCTCTCCCTCCGCCCGTTTTATTTGGAGAGGGTTTTTGAAAAAAAAAAAAAACTTAAAATGAGGATTATTGCGAAAGACTATAAGTCAGGGGGATTTTATGTAATTCACCAAAAAATATTATATAAGCTTTTATTATTGAAAAACAGAACGTTTACACACAATTGAGACCTTCAATGATAAAAACTAAGACAAAAAAATAACAAGATAATTAATAATCTTCCATAATTTGCAACCTCTAACACCTTTTTGTTTGTTTTGGATAGAAATTCATCTTTTTGGATAAATAAGATTTTCATAACTTTGTCTGAATTAATTTAAGAGATTTCATGTAAAGCGTCTCCTCTATACAGGTCGGGTAAAGTTTAGACTTTTATTATCGAATATGGCCTCAAAAAATTATTTACATTCAAAAAGGTCAAAACTTAAATCTAAAAACCTAGTAATAATTTATGAGACACTAGCCGTAACTGAATAAAAATCTTAGTCTTAATTACTCCATAAATTTGCAATTTTTATTTAACATCATTACATTTCCAATGTTATCATCAAGTCATTGTTCTAGTACTTTATGTATGCAAGTAGTCAAAAGAAGGCAGGTAAGGGTACTGACCTAACACCAAGACCAACTAGGCAAGGTAATAGTGGTTAGTGTGACAAGTAATTTGTGATTCACGAAATGTGCTTATTGTTTTGGTAATTTAAGTTTATGAAAACATGAAGGTTCTTGATTAATTGTTGACATATTGAATACTAATGATGACAAAGAAGGTAAGTCTTTAGAAAAAAGGTTGTATGCATGGAAGATTGAAGAATGAAAAGATGGGTTATTGATTGGGAGGGAGGGAGGGAGAGAGAGAGAGCTAATAATGCCAAGAATTATTGAGAGAGAGAGAAGATGGTGGAAAATTATTGAGAGAAAAAAAGTGGTTTTCATTTTGATGTGAAGAAAAGGAATGCTTATAGATAAGATAGAGAGAGAGAGAGAGAGAGAGACATGAGAGATAGAGATAGCCTGACGAAGGAAAATTATTGAGAGAGAAAAAGTTATTTTTTGATGTGCGGGAAAGGAGTGGTTAGAGGTAACTTTAATAATAGTTTTTAGAAAATTAAAAATATAAAATTGTAAAAAAAAGGTTTGTTTGGTTTAATTTTTTAAAAATTATTTTTTAAAAATTCAGTTATAAAAGAATATATTTTTAGATAATTATTTTTTATTGTTTTCTGTTCTCTGAATTCTTGAAAATCGTTTTTCGAGTTAGAAACCAAGTAAGCCTTTTTTTCTTTAATTACATTAACTCGTTTGTTTTTTTAATAATTAATTTTTGAATACTCTTAAGTCCACTTATTTTTAAATTTTATTGATATTATTTTTATTTGATTTTATAGTAGATCATATCATTACTATATAACTTATTAAATAGTGTTATACAGTAATGATATGACCTATTATAAAATAAAATATGTTTTCTTACAAGACTAGATATTATTAATTAATGACACGAATAATATATTATCATTTAGTAAAAAAAATAAAATTCATGGGCTTGAGTTCATTTTTATTTTTAAATTATTAAAAATAAAAATAAAAGTTTGACTTGCAAAACATGATTAGTATCACATATCAATGTAACATAACAAAACTGATCGTCGCAATCGTGAATTTTATTTTTTAAATATAAGGCGTAAACAATGAAACTCATGGAAATGGTGTGCATGGAACACAAGTAAATAACCCAGTTCAAAAAAGCAAGAGAAAGAAAAATTGGTTGAAGGTTTAAATATATGGGCGATGCCCAACATAATTTTATATTTTAATTTAGACATTTGTTGAAATTGTGAGGCCACGTCATTGAGGGGATGAAGTTCATCCTCCCTGAACAGACTCGAGCATTGTCCTTGCAACATATATTTAGATGTTTTAGATATTCATGACTTCTCTCTCTTAGATATTAATACGGTCGTTGTTAGGTGTCCTTGTTGTCCACTTGCGTACCTGTGCGTCGACCTTTGTAGGGTTCAGTCTACACGACTATTACATCAAGGCTTTGTGCTAATTGGTTTCGGCCTACGTGCCTTGATCCTTGTAAGGGCTAGTGGTACGGTGCTAGCAATACAGGGCTAGCAAAAGTTTGTTAGATCGCTAATCACATCAACAATTGTGTTGATGTGATTAGCAACAATATATTGCTATTTTTTAGTCACGGTATGAGATAATTGATATCTATTATTTTATTATTTTTTATTGGTACTTTTTTAATACATTTAATATTTTGACTAAAAAAAATTAAAAGCATATTTATTTTTTTTGTTTGTTTGTATTTTTTAAAACGATTACTTTCTCACAATTACATAAATAAAATAAAAAAAGACATTACATATTTTTTCATAATTAAATAAATAAAATAAAAAGACATTGCATATTTTCTCACAAATATAAATAAAATATTGTATTTCTTCATATTGTATGTTTGTCATGAATAAAATATTACTTTACAATTTTTTTTTCTTATATATTTGTTGACAAATTTTTTAAAAAAAAAAATTCAAAATCATAAAATAAAAAAAATTTACAATAAAATTAAATTACATATAAAAGGAAATAGTAAAGAAAAAAAAAAAAAAAAAAAAAAAAAAAGCCATTTCTAACAATATGATTTTTTGTTTTAAAAAATTCATATATATTTGTTGACAAATTTTGAAATCACAAATATTTATTTCAAAATAAAAAATAAAATAAAATAATCAAAATCATAAATTTATTTTTACAATAAAAATAAATTACATATAAAAAGAAATAGTAAAGAAAAAAACCAAAAAAAAAAAAACAAAAAAAGGGAAAACAGCCAAGCAGTTGTGGGCGAAAGAAAAAAAAAAAAACAAAACAAAACAAAAAAAAAAAAAGAAAGAAAAAAGGGAAAAGAGCCGTTGCTGAGGTGGGGCCTTGTTTGGCTCGCAATGTTATTATTAGCAGTTGTGATGTACTTTGCTAGTCAGCATCTTGATCCCATAAATTGTTAGTCTCATACCAATTCAAACACTACCAATTAATACACCCGAGCTAGCAATAAAGCTCTTGTACCGGTTGCTCTAAGAAAAACACTCCAATTCTCGATCAATTTGATTAATTTGTGCAGGTGATGGCCACGTACCATCATGTATGACTTGTACGTCCTTTTCTTATAACCATTTAAATCAAGTGCTTTCAATTATCAATAAGTATAAGTGTCGTCCTTGCACTCAGCGTACCTGTAACACTAGGCTTACAGAGTAGGGACTCTTAAAAGTTTAAGATCTTTAATATTTAAAATTGATAGTTCTCCACCGATCCTCATTAATTAGTCCAGTAAGATTATCTTAATGTAGTAAATTAAGAATAATTAGGTATTAAGTCTATGCAAGTCGTACGTTTTGTGGCAAATAGGTGTTGCATTTCCATGGCGGCCACCGGTGCCAATCATGATTTGACTGCACTTCAGCGGCAATATTTTATTGTTGTCGGTGACATGTAGAATGGAACTAGAACACAAATTACAGTAAATTCTCACAAAATATTAATTTTTGAGAGACCAGCCCCCTTAACTATTATTTTACCGATAATCACCCTCATATATCATGATAATTACTGTCATTTGTAACAGATTCATCAGTACAAATGACAAAGTGGATGGCTCCGCTGCAACTCAAGCGGGATCAACCCAAAATATCTGGAGTTCAGTTCGAAATTTTGTAAGCTTGGATAATGTTTTTCTAATTTTGATTTGGGCCTGGACTATATATGTTGAGCCCGAATTCAATTCAACCTGGGCTTGGGTTGCTATGGATGAAACCCGAAGCCCGATTAGAGTCCGAAAATATTATATATATTTATAATTATACTTAAGTTACAAAAGTGTATTAGCCAAGTTGATAGTGTGCATGGAATTTATATTTAAAGTCTTAAGTGTAGCATTAAATGATTTATTTTTAACACAAATTCTTTTGAGGTATTAAATGATTTATTTTTAACACAAATTCTTTTGAGGTGGGCTTAGTGCAGGCTTGGGCTGGACAAATTATGTATAGGCTTAAGGCGGGCTTGGGCTGAAGATTTTTTATATGGGCTTAACCCGAGATGAGTGCCAAGTCCGGCCGAATTGCATCCCTAGCTCCATGAGGGCTAGAACACCGGACTTTCCCTTTGGAGAGGAGATGTATATATTTGTTATTTAATCAAATTTGGTTTTTGGCATCAAAAAAAAAAAAAAAAATGAGGGAAGTACAAGAATTTAGATATGTGATTGAATTTTATTCACTGACAGAAGCAGACACAACGTATATAGTACGTTACTGATTGAGAGAAATCCTTTTACATCAATTGAGTATGTCTTTCTCTTGAAAGTTTATAAAAAACCATTAAGGTTTTACCCACCAAAAAAAATATAAAAAAAGTAAAATAAAATTAAAATCAGAACACGAATTGAAGTTCAGATGATGTGAAGTATAATAAACTCTAGGAGCAATAGTAATTTATTGATAGAGTTTCAAGTATGTGTCCATGCGAGTGTATTGAACCTCAGGATAGAGCTCTGAAGCTTCTTCTCCATCTTTCCCTATTTCGAAGTTTGTTAGACAGCCATCGTAGAAGACGTGATAGAAATGCCCCACTCCTACTTGGCCAGCAAAGTCCATACCTGCATTATACAACAAAGACACAAAGTGAAGTTAGATTAATACGTACAATCCATATATATATATATATATATATATATATATATATATATTTGTTTATTTTCATGTACTACCTTTCATGGATGCTAGGAAGTCTTGTGCAGAGATGGTGAACTTCTGTAGTTCTTTGTTTGTAAGTTTTTCCCACTTCTCGACTATCTGCCTTTGAGTAAGGATGTTCTCCGGTGGTCGAAGGTACAGTGTTTTGTTCAACATACGAGGATCGTCTATTGTTTTGATTGTGTATGTTGCTATATCATCTTCATCTAAAAAAGCCACTGCAAAGTGTAACACATATTAATATTCAACAAGAGTAGTGCAATTATGACCTTATATTTTGCTTATCCAAAATACGAATTATTAGACACATTAACACTAAGGTAGGATAAATTAACCAAACAGCCCTTAACTTATGTTATGAAAGGTAAAATTATATGTTCATTATACAGAAATGGAATTTGAAAATTTAAAAACTGTACCATCATTTGAGTTTTCTATTTGTACCTTTCACATTGCCATCTCCATACAGGTACACTTTGTCTTTGGGAGGAATGAGTGTGCCAAGTTGAGAGAGGTTACCCACAAAGTAACCAGCAAAGCAGTTAGCAGACACATAAGTGAAGGGTATTTTGGCTTCTTCAATTGCCTTCCTCACTCTCATCTTCTCCACAAATGTCACATTTCCTGGTTCTAGTGCATCTCTCATTCTTGATGGATCGATACCGAACTCCGAAGGCAAGAAACGCTTTTGAAAAAAAGAAAAAAAAACGAAAAAAAGAAAAAAAAAGCGAGAGATTAATTTAGATGAAAGTTTACAGTGAAAATATACATATACATATATATATATATATATATATATATATATATAATCTTGGAAACAAAGACATGATTCTTTACAAGCTTATGCAAATATTCACAAAACAAAAGTAAGCAATTAGTGTGTGCACTTTCTTATTTTAGGTTTGGTCGTGTGCTCTATGCTGCTTCATCATGCTACATTTTCTTCTCTGTTTGGAGAAGAATTACGTTAGTCCTCTGATCTAACTGGTGATAGTATATAGCTACATTAGTGGACAATGAGAGTTCAGATGTATCTAAAATGAAGGGTTTGCTTAGTTTGCAATTCTGAAAATAACTTTAAAAAATTTAAAACAGTTTTCAGAGAACAATAAAAGACAGTTTATCTGAAAATAGACTTTTTTATAGCTGAGTCTTCAGAAAACTGAACCAAATAGATTTTTTTTGTACAGTTTTCACTTTTCTGAAAACTAAAAATTGTTTTTAAAATTACAAACCAAGCAGACCCTAAGTTTCCAAAAACACGAGAGAGTTCGAAATCCCTTTGGGAGAATTTTTTTTTGTAATTATCAAGTGTATGTGAGACAGGAAGACTACATGTGTCTGGAATATTATAGGGTAATCTAAGAGAGCGGACATCACCATCATCGACCAAAACTATATATATACTGATATAAATGTTGACTATATATACATTTTTTTTTTGTTTTACCTTTTTTTGGGGTTGTCTTCTAGCTAGTTCTAGGAATGGGTTTGGTGTTCTTTCGTTCTGTTTGTTGATCCCTTGGACTTGCCAAGCATTATGAATACTATAAGCAATATATATAGTTGCACCAGCTTGAAAAGGCAAATTGGTTGTTGTTGTTTCTTTGTGGGGCCCTCTGTACAGTTTTTCCTTTGTTTTAATAAAATCTAGCTTACCAGAAAAGAAAAAAAAATATTTGTGGGTGTACCGAGTTTGTTGGCAATATATTATAGATTTATATATATAATAATAATAATAATAATAATAATAATAAGAGTGATGCTTTTAAAATCAAAAATTTAATTGGATATGAGAGACAAAACGGTCCCCAAATATGTAAAAGCAACGTTGCTGAATTAACTGTTTCGATTTTGAAAGCAACATTCATTTAATTATTATTTATTTACATTAAAGTGTCTTTTCTTTTTTTCTTGGGATGATCATGAAAGTGTCTTTCCACTTAAAGATTTGGTACAAAAGTAGAGGATGGGGATGTTATAATAATCCAGTAAAAATACGAATTACTCACACGGTCGGCTAGGGTTAGACGACAAAGAGGTCGCCTAGGGTCCTCAATTAAAATAAATAAAGGTTAGCCTCACCCGAATTCTTATTTATTATTTTAATATATATTCCCTCTTTCAAGACCCTCTTTTAAAATAAATAAGTTTAACATTAAGTAAGCTTCGTAATGTCATATTTTCTTCTTTACTACCACCCCATATATATATATATATATTTTATTATTTTATTTTATTTAGCTCGACAAAAAAATATAAACTAAGTTATTTGTGAAATTAAATAAAAAATACAAGAAAGAGATCAAACGCGCGCGCACAAATTTTATTTGATTCACCAAAACCAAGGCTACAATCAAAGATTGTAAGAATTTTCACTACGATGATAAAAAATAACAACGGATACAGAAAATTTAAAATAAATAAATACCCTCACACTAGGGACAACCTAACATATGCGAAAATTATCAAAATATCAAGTGTTACTACAAGTCATTTCACCGTATTCCACATTTTTTTAATTTGTCTACTAAAAAAATGTGGATTTGGAAGTAGAGAGATTAAATAGATTAGATATATTAATTTATTAAAAAAATAGTAAAAATACCAATACAAAATTATAATTAACATTTTTACATCTCAAAATTAAGAAGAATTATTATTAAATAAAAATTATTAATATAATTTTATGTTAATAAATTAAACATCATAAGGTCCTGGTCACTCCCAGAGATAAAACCTGGTGGGTTCTCTTTCTAATCAAGCGTGCACCATATGAAAAGAATGATAAAACTCCACTCCACCATATATATATATATATATATATTAGACATTTGAATTTGTGTTCGCTTAGAGATGTGTGCTTTGATATTCTCAAGGCTTCCTCAATTCTCTATGGCATTGGCAGAACCCGTCTCACACAGTCTTGGAGAAAGGTTGTCAGTATTTATACAATGCAGATATTTTTTAATTGTGTATATGTACTTAAAAAATTGAGCGTGCAAACTACAGTAATATTTACATTACTTGTGACAATTACTAATGAAAAGAATGTGTAAAATAGATAATATCTACATAATAGAGGTAAATCATAACAAATAGTATCGAATTCAATTTTTAACCGAAAATGAAAGAATATACACGTAAAGTACGAAATTTAGGCCACTGAAAATACTGGATCCCAAAAGATGGTGATTGTAATATCTCACCGTTTGTCGCTTTATTAAAAAGTTGTTATCATTTATATGTTAATGTCTATTATGTATGTTGGGAGGTAACTATTGAGAATATACTTTCATTATAATTGTATGTACTAATTCTTTACTAACTTCTGTTCCAAAAAAAGTGTCGTTTTTAGAGAATCGTGACAGTTCAATTTATGAGAGTCATGGTTCTCCAAAAGTGACACTTTTTATAGAACGGAGGGAATAATAAATAATGCACGGTAAATTGGCTTTATTTATAAAAGTTATATATATATATATATATATGACAATGAAACAAAAAGTGTTACATATATAAATGACAATGAAACAAAAAGTGAAGAGATTATTGAATTGCTAGAGAAGAAAAACACAAACTGTTATGTCACATTATTATTATTATTATTATTTTCAACTCAGTTTTTATAAAAACAATTTTAACATAAACAAATTTTCAAAAACTGAAGTAAACGTACATGCCTATAGATGCTTTACCACTAAAACTCATTGATAAGTACCTTGACATTTCCAGCTTCTTTAATGGCATCAACAAGCTTGAGCTGCAACAAAATGTTGTGACTCCGGAAATGCACCCCAGACATGGTGCAAATGACCACGTCGACCTTTTTCACCGCGTCCACAAGGCTCCGGTGATCGGAAAACGAGCCCTCGATAAGGTGAGCCCCGTGCTTCTTGAAGGACAATAAGATCTGTAACTTGTCCATGTCGAGGCCGATCTCGGGCCGTTGGAGGACATAGGTTTCATGTCCCTGTGCTAAGCTAGCCTTAACAATCCTACTGCCAATGTACCCGGTGCCTCCCACAACCAGAACCTTGCTCTTTGCCATAGTAATGTTATTTTTTCTAATGTGGCTGCTTCAAAGGTCAGAGAAACAGTAACTTATATAGAATTTTCGTATGCATATTTGTCCAATTTTTATTTTATTTTTTTCCATATTTGTCCAATTTTTATTTTATTTTTTTCAATATTTGTCCAACTTTATGTAGTATAAGTTACTCTGTGGTTGGTGTTTCTTGATTCTGAACAATAATATAATGAAATTTATTGAGTTGAATATATAAGGGAGTGGTTGATGTGTCATATATACATACATACATATATATATATATATATATATATATATATATATATATATATATATATCTCCACTATATGCAGTGCAAGTTACTCTATATATAGTTGGTGCTCTCTTTACAACAATAATGTCTAAAATCTAGGTTGGCCGGCCATGCTTAAATCTTCCTTCAAAAGTGTCGAGCCCTAATAGCCGCCGGGTCCTTTTTGAAAAACTCCAACCTCCTATCATTCACTTTAAAAACCAAAGAAAATACGGAGTACCTTGTTTTTTTTTCAAAGTGGATTAATTAATTAATTGGTATTAAATTGATTAGATTTACCTTATTTGATAAATTATTTTCTTAAATTGTTTCAAGACTAATAATATATTTTCTTCAATTTATAGATTTTGCAAATACAAGTCCGAATTATTTAATGAAATTCATAGTACCCTTCAATAGACTAGCCACAATTCTTATGAAATTTTGTAAAATTGACAATATTTTTGTCCGAAATTTGTTTTGCACTTTAGCATATTTTATGTTGAGATAGAACTCTCATACCTATTAGAAAAAGTTCTTTTTCCCATGTATATATATCTATAAAAGGAAAGTTGTAAAAGAAAGGAAAGAAATTTTGACCCAGACGTTGAAAAATCGCCAACATCACAAAACATCCAAAATAAAATTTAATTTGTGACATTTAACATTTTACCTACCTGTCCATAGAGGACTAGCTCCAAAAAAATGCAAATGACTGAGACATTTCTCATCTCAATATGTTTCTATATACTTCATATTTACCATATATAGATACGTATGCAAGTAAACAACCTTCTCAAAAACTATGCATAAGGTCAAAAATAGGGTAGGTGATAGAACTTTAGAAAAAACTTAGCAACTGGTCTTAAAAGTACTGATATCTGGTTCTATATATATATATATATATATATATATCACGGATGATGATTGTTAAATATGATTTAAGTGTAAAAAATATAATTGCTAAGAAGAACATAACAATCATATCTAATTGTCATTATTCTTCAAGTGCTACCAGTGAGTTAGAAAATTTCTCTACACCACGCATGATGATGATTAAATATAATTTAAGTGTAAAAAAGATAATTACAAAAAAATTATAATAATCAAATTTAACAGTCATCATATTTCATGTGAATAAATAGATTTCTTACTCTTGCTCAACAGTGTGCAAGAGATCGATCATTGCTGTTAGTGCTAAAGTTAAATTAGAGCTTGATTACGTTAACATAAATAAGGTAATACTAACCTTGAGATGTTTAGATTCTAAAAATGACATTCTAATCTGTAAGAACTTTGACACGCTAGATTGAACAACACTAAGCTCAGCTCAATTGAGCTCATCAATGACTTGATGGGGTGTACGATTGTTGGGACAAAATAGTTTCGGAATGGATTAACTAAAACAGTTAACTCCTACATGGATGCATGTCCTGTCAACTAAAACAGTTGAACAACATGACGGATGGTTGCTTTACTTTTCTGTATTATGAAGGATTTAAATATATACTTATGATGTCGTGATACGAGCTTGAGTATCCTGATCACGGTTAGGGTGCGTACATCGCCTAGGATTGATAACCAGGCCTGATGAAGTTTCCCTGGTTGTTCTACTCGGGTTGAGACGGATTATGTGGGCTGGTGAACGTTCTATAGTGTGTACTTATATCTATATGAACTACTTTAGCTATTGTTGAGCTATCTAGGATATATCTGCGTATCGAGTTTATGTATGGATTACACAAAAGGGCTGTTAATCTTAGCGTACATGATTAAAAAAAAAAAATTCATAATTTTGTTAGGTTAATATATATATTTATTTTTGATTAAAAAAAAACTCAATTTCATTGATTGACAAATTTGGAACAAATTACAAATTTTGATTCTAAAATCTTTTTTTTTTGGTGTAAATTTTTCCAAAATTTATGTTCTAGATATAATTCATAGGTACATACCAAAAAAATATCATTACTTAGCGAATATATAAATATTACGGTTAGGATAAAAAATTTCGAATTTCATGTTCTAGATATAATTCATATGTACATACCAAAAAAATATCATTACTTAGCGAATATAAAAATATTACGGTTAGGAAAATTTTTTGTGCTTTTACCCAATAAAAGAACTTTTGTCTTATAAGTAAAATATACAAGTGGGATATGTAGTACCACTGAGAAATTAAAGACACAATGCAAAAATATTTTGAATAACCTACTTGGAATAATGGTTTTTGTCAATTTAATTTCTTTCATCTTGTGTTTACTTTGAATTTAGAATTGGAGAAAGTATTAGTTTAATAAGAGTATTATTTTGTTTTCAAATAATAAAAAATCAGAAGACAGTTGAAATATATTCGTTGATATAAAAATATAATAAAATAAAAATAAAAAAGAAAGAGAGAGAGAGACGCACACATTTTAGGAAACCAAATTTTCAACATTCCTCTAAAAATGGTTTCTCTTTGTTGAAATTATCTTTATGAGAATAAGAGACACTATTGCTAATTAGGTAAGTTCTTCTTCACTCCTTACGTCTGTTTTTGCTCTTTTGTTTTGATTTTGTATATGCATATTGATTAAAATAGTCCAGCCAATTTTTCTGACTTATGTTAGAAAATAAATGCAAAGCTAGAAAATGAATTCTGACCTTAAAAAGTCAATTTTTAAGACTTCAGCAATCCAATCAGTTGAATCTGGGTAAGATCAGAAAATATTACAGTAGGTAGTATTTCCCAAGTACCCATAATCTAGCGTTAAAATTTTTGGGTCGGCTTCGGGTTGATCTGCCCAAATTATAACCCTATTCCTGATAGCTATTCAATAAAATAAATGAATATGAATGTAATTTGTGGACACTTATGAAGCACGGATACTCCTCCCAGAGGCCCCATATCAGTGTCGGATACTTTTCGGACACGACATCCGTGTCCGAGGCTCAGACACGTGTCCGATACTTTTGTAAAGTGTCCAAATATTATTTTTTATTGGACACACGTGTCCGAGGCTCGGACACACGGTCCGACACTTCCGTGAGACAAAATTTATTTTCTCTCACTTCTCTCTCAGTCTCTCCTCTTCTTCACTTATCTATCTTCATGAACAAGATATATATATATATATATATATATATATTTAAGTACATGAACAAAACTTTGTGAAAGACTGAAAGTATATATGTTTATTCATATACATATTTAGTTCATTATAGTTATGTCTCTTCTGCACATCTTTGTTTGGAATTTGGATCAACTTTATTTTTCATTTATTTTCTGTTTTGTCTTGTCTATATTTTTCTTATAATAGAGATGAAATTATTGAAATTGATTCTATTATTTGTTATTGTTTTATTTATCTATACAAGATTCTAATAATTATATTTTGAATATACAATTATATATATATATATATATATATATATATATATATATATAAATAATTTTATAGGCGTATCCCCGCCGTGTCCGTGTCCTATTTTTTTGAAATTTGTCGTGTCGCCGTATCCGTGTCGTGTCGTACCCGTATCCCGTATCCGTGTCCATGCTTCATAGATGGGCACGTATCGAGTCTCTAGTATATTATAAATTACATAATTCTTTTAAATGAAAATCACTCTCATGCTTTACTTTACGTATATTATTGCTTTTACGCTTTGCATATGTTTTTGCTCTCAATCTCATTATGTGTAACTTAGATTTTGTCATGTTCATATTTCAACTTTTGCATTCAGTCCCGCTCTCACACTCACTCTAAGTGGCAGACACAGAGGGGGGTTTGGGTGGGCTTGAGCCCCCCCCAAAAAAAAAAAATAGTATATTATGTTCAGCCCAAATTTTTTTTTTTTTTTTTTTAAAATTTAATAGTAGTTTTAATCCCTCCTTTTAACCCATTCAAAAAAAAAATTGCTTATGAAATTGTGTAATTAAATTTATGTTCAATACTAGTCCCTCCATTTGACAATGCCTGAATTCGCCCTTGCTCACTCTACATGACTGAATTCTATACTATATTAGTTATACTGTCCAAGAAAGTAACCAATTTTATTTTATTTTTTTATTTTCTATTTTTTTTTCCTTATTTTGGAGTGTTACTTTCTACATCTTCTAATTTAACTTTTAACCCTTCTTGCCTTATAAAAAAAATACAAAGTATTAACCATCGACTAAATATTCAATATTTTTTATATACTTCTCGGAATACTCAATATATATATTTAATATTTTTTATGTACTTCTCGTAATACTCAATATATATATAATGTCATCAAATCATTTGATTTTGTTATCAAGTTTAGCCAAATTAAAGACTCCAATACCGTGTTTGGTGGAAAGTAAGGGTTGAGAATGAATGAAAAAGAACAGATAGAACTTAGAAGAAACTTCACAAATAAAAGAGAGAGAGGATATTTTTTGTTTTTGAAAAGTTATTTATCACTTCAAAATCGAGCCGAGGAAAAGAAGGTAAAGTTGTCATGCAAATATGTAATACTAATTTTAATATTTAATTACTTACAAAATCAATTATTAAGTCTTAAAAAAATTCTCTCAACTCAACCGTGTAAAAACATAATATAATTAACATAAAAAAATGAGAAAAATACATTGTCTTTCTTATAAATGTTTCATTCATTATTTCTTGGCCTCTTCTGTTTATCAATTTTTCTTTTCGATAATCGAGGTATTCAGAACTTTTGACATGACTAATCCACATAATCCATGAAAAACACTTCCTTAAGAGATCGGGTAATGCTAGAACTATATTTACAATCATAACTTTTAAGAAATTATTTACACCTAAAAAAAATATATTTTAAAACTTGATGTTTTATGGCATAGGATTACTAACACCAAGTCTTCCCCAACTATCCCTCTACCCAAACAAAAAATCGAAATAAATGCTAACTGAAGGATTTGACGCAATTATTACAAGACCATGATGTCCAGTACATGTATAGGTAAGGTGTTGACTTGATTCCTAATTAGAATTGTTTATAGAATTTAATAAAACGAGATATACACCATTGCAGATTTAGCATGATCCTCCACCACATTCAATAAATAACAGTATATGGTGATGATGAGTCGATGACCGTCAACATTTTGACTATAAGGTTGATAAGGTTGATTTTCCTTATATTATTTGACGTTTCCAACAAAAGTTGAAATATATATGATAGGGTAAAGTGTAAAAAAATTTCTTCAATTATGTTTAAATTTATAAATAATCCTTTGAATTATATTTTATACATAAAATTTCCTAAATTATCACATTTAGTTACAAAATGCTCCATTATCTTACCTATTTTTCATTAAATGACCATAATACCCTTTCTTATTGAATTACACTTAATATATTTTTCTTGTTAAAATAAATTATGAAAAAAATTCTTACTAATTTAATGAAATTTTCTCAATTAAATTTGTATAAATTTGTCTTTAATTTTTTAAATTAATAATTTAAATAAAAAACTTAAATAGAAAATTTTGAAACAATTTAAGTAATTTCTTAATTTTCATGAATATATTGCATTAAAAAAAAGGTATTTTTTATTTACTTAATTTATTAATTTTTCATGAATATTGATTGAAAAAGAAGATATTTTTTTATACTAATTTTTTTAAAAGTGAGTATAATAAATTTTATTATAATAAGTTAATCATTTTAGAAAATGATAGCTACAAATTTATTTATTTATTTTTTATTTTTATAATCAATTGATACTAATTATAAAATCAAGATAAATGACTAAATGGTATAATTAATATTTAAATAAAAGAAAATATAATAAAAAATAATTTAATAAGAAATGACAAATTTAATAACAAAGGGTACACAAAATAGTCTTTTGTAATGGATTTATCCTTAATTGCAACAAACTAATAATTTAGGGGGGCAATCTTTAGTTCAGGGGAATTAGTTGCAAAAAAGTCAATAATTTAGGAGGGTTTTTTGTACTTTACCCTATATGATATGATATGATATGATATGATAGTCAAGTCATATTAGATTTTTTTTTTTTTTTTTTTTTTTTTTTTTTTTTTTTTTTTTTTTTGTGTGACCAATCTCACCTAATCTCCATCTAATTTCCTTTGACCATAGCTAGCTTTTTTCATCGAGTCATAATCGAATAATTAATTCCATTGAAATTGCTTACCAAACAAAAATGTGTTACAACATTGTGATGTCAAATTTTGACAAACCTCAAATTTTGGTAAGCAATTTGAATTGAATTAATTATTGATTACTTATTTGATTATGAATCTTCTAATTATGAAATGCAAGTTTGTCATTATGATCATTTCAAATGCTACAAATTAACTTTTTTTTTTGAACCAAATAAAAAGTGAAAGTAAAATAAAGTAGTAAATAAAAAATAAAAAAACAAATTTTTTTCATTGTGTAACTGATTAGCACGAAAATTTGTCATGAAAAATTGTCATTTTATGTTTAAATAGCTTGAAACTTAATATAGAAGAAATGACGTACGCTATTATAAGTTCATAAAACTTTCTCAATGAATCAAAATTTTGGTGTGTTTTTTGTAGTAAAATTTTATAGATAAATTAGGAGGTTATGAAAAATAATTTTTCCTAAAAATTTTCTTTTCATTCTAACTAGAATTTTTAAGTGCTCAAGAAATTTTCATTTTCTTTCATTTCCTGCTATTTTCATCTAATCAAACAAAACATTTATATTTTTGTCTAATCGAACAAAACATTTATATTTTTGATAGGCACATGTAAAAAACTATAATGTAAATTTTATTACTGAAAAACAGAGTGTGCGTATACATTATACAACAAGCCTTAATACACACAATTAAGACTATCAATGATTAAAAAAAAAAAAGGCAACAATTAATCAATAATCTTCCATAATTTGCAACCTCCAGTTAACCCTTTTTTGTTTTCTTGGGATCGAAATTCTTAGTCTTACTTTCTTTGGGCTTGTATTCTCACGGGCTAGTCTTGTTTGTTGGTTAGCCTGGCCGGGCTAGCTTGTTATGTACATTGTTCTATAAAAAAATAATAAATAATTTTGTTTAAATTTAAATTTTCAATCATTTCCAACATTAACTGTTTTGTTTCTTAGCTGATAAGTGTCATCTTTTGGCTTCTCTCAAAAATAAGAGAAAATTGAAGGAAAGAAAATAAAAGACTAACATTTTTAACGATAAAATTTATCCTTGTTTTATAAAAAATAAAACCTATAGAAAATAGTATGTTAATAAATTCATTAAAATAATTTATTTTTCTTATTTTTCTTTCTCCAACCATGATTAATAGTCTCTTTTTTTTCATTAATCAACCATATCTGGTACAGTGGTACTCCTTTCTTTTATTAACCAACATACATACATACATATATATATATAGCCACTCATCTTTTGATTAAAAAAAAAAAAAACACACACACACACACACATGTATATAGCCTAATTAATAGTCTTTTTCACAAGTCATTTCTAGGTGGTTGTAATTATTCAAATAACCTTCTTCAGTTGGAGACACGTGTCTCAATATGTCTCTTTCAAATAAAAGCAATCATATATTTTCAACAAAAAAATGTCTTGACAGTTTTATTTCTTTTCAAGAATTTATCTTCCACCCACCTGTCTTCTACCAATACTTCTCTTTCGTCCAGCTGCAATAATCTGCATGCTATTTCTTCAAGATTGGGCCACATCTCCTCCATCCATCTATTCATTTTATTTTAAAGCTTCATCATTCGTAATCTTATGTTTATATGTATATATTGTGTGTGTAACGTCAACAAGTTCATGCAACAAGTTATCTTTCAAAAAAAAAAAAGTTCATGCAACAAGTCAGATATTTAATTATTAATAATTCTCAGCTGACGAGTAAATATTAATCTATGGTGTAAACAATTGAACTCGCGCGTGGTAACGGTGTTCATGTAACTATAAAAAATTTTGTGCAATTTAAACAAGTTCATGACACGTTTCAGATATTTATTGATAATATTCAGATGACAAGTAATGTTAATTTATGGTTGAAACAAATCCTGGCAAAGGTGCTAATTAGTTAAACAATTAAAAACAATATACAAAAAGCACGCCCTTTTCCAGAATGAAATTATATTGTTAATATAGTGCGAAATTTTATGTCTGTGCAATGAAATGACACTGTTCAAATGATTATTATAGAAAAAAAAAAAATTAAAAAAAAAATGAAAATGAATTTATGATAATTGTAAATGATATATATCACGGTTTCTTAATTTTTTGTAATATTATTAATCTTATATATATATATATATATATATATATCCCGATAAGTAATTCATATGACTATTTTTGTTTGTACGACCTGAATTTTCAATTATTTATCCTAGAAGATTGATAAGATATTACTAGACCATAGTCTTTGATGATGAATTTACTTATTTATTAATTGTCTCTCAAAACATTGCTTTCTATAGTATATATTTAAAGATATATAATAATTACTCTCTATATTGACAAATGTGATTAATTTTTATATAAAATATTACTAATTAATTCAAGTTCATAAATTGTTAAACCATAAATGGATCGCCTCACCAAGTACAGCCAGCACAACATATATATATATATTATGGTCTTTGTTAGGTGTGTTTGTTCACTTAATTACACTTTGTAAAGAAAATTCCAGAAACATAAAATATGGATGTAAAGTTTATTAAATTACATAAATTTTAAGATCCAGAAGAAAAATAATAAATAAATAAAATTAGTCTACCTTGATATGCGCGTGGGACAAACCACACCACATATATAGACATTTCATTTCTTTTTGTAAATTCCTGTTTGTTAAGTTTGAATATATGGTTATTTTACCAATATTGCACGGATTTGTCAACTCACATACCAGCATTGGACAATATCGGTACAAAGATATTGTCGCTGGGCGAAGGACAATTACCCTATTGGTTGGTCCATGGTAAGATTGATTTTTTTTTTTTAGAGCAAGAATGTTAAGAATTAATAGTTAGAGAAGAAGAAGAGAGTGTAAGGTTCGAACCCGAATTCCCGAATACACAGAAAGCAACACAACCACTAGAGTAATAGGACACTTGCTCTTGGTATGATTGATGCACCACCACTTACTGATTGTCTTAATTTTAATGTATAATTAAATAGATCTCTTCGTAGCAGGCCATTGTTGACAGAAAAATTTACAATTAATGACATTGCAACATCGGCTAAGATATAGAGGTGTGAGGGGGTGGACTCCACACACTGACCTCACACATCCCTCTTATCTCTTAGTCCTGGATTGTGACAATATTGCTAATTGTACCATTAATGCTCCGTTGTGGACTTACCATGTATTAATTTGTTTAGCCTTGTCCCAGCCTGGCTGTTGTTTGGCTTTTGACTTTTGCTTGTAAATTTTCTTATGCATCAATATACTCCTCAATGCACAATTCCATTTTGATTGCAGTCACTTACTTACCGGAAAAATAATAAAAATATATAGAAAAATTGTCCAACTATATATAATGAATATATAGACTGCCTTAATTTTGAAGATAAGCAATCAATGTATTCATATCTTTACCAACAGCTAATTTATAGAAAAAGGTTGGCTGATAAGCAACTTCACACTGGTTAAAAGTAAACCAATGTGTAAAATTAAGAAAACAAGAGCATTTAAGTGTAAACACACGCGCACACAATCTCTATATATAAAGGGGTGGGAGATACATCTTTCTCCCATTCAAGAGACAAATCTTGAGAGAGAGAGAGAGAGAGAGAGAGAGAGATGGAAAAGAGCAAAGTACTGATTGTTGGGGGGACTGGGTACTTGGGGAAGAGGTTGGTGAATGCAAGTTTAGGGCAAGGACATGAAACATATGTTCTTCATCGAGCAGAGATTGGTGTGGACATTGAGAAGGTTCAAATGCTGTTGTCATTCAAGGCAAGAGGAGCGCGGCTCGTGGCCGGTTCCTTCAGTGACCATGGCAGCCTAGTTGATGCAGTGAAAAAGGTTGATGTTGTTATATGTGCAATTTCTGGCGTCCATATTCGCAGCCACCATATCCTACTGCAGCTTAAGCTCGTTGATGCAATCAAGGAGGCTGGAAATATTAAGGTAAATATATACATACACAAGGTAGCTATATATATATATATATACACACACACACACACACACACACATATATATACATGTGAGGGCCTGACATGCTTTTCAAATGCACTTCCTATATTTGTACTTCAACTTTGGGGGATTGCTTTGAACATCAAAAGAGCGCATTTTTATGAATTTTTTTTATTTTATTTATTTATTTTTTTTTTCAATATATAGCAATATGTTTACAATAAAGAATAGTAGTGACAGTGACACTGAAACTCAACTCCAACAAATTGAGTGTCAATTGCAGTGGAGTTTATTCGTGGTGGTCATGGCGCACATTGATTTTTTCAGTTGCATCAATCTGGCTCATCCAAATTGCATCCCTAAATTAATAAATAAGTAGTACTCAAATTGATATATATATAAATTAAGTATTTTAAATCGCAGAGGATAGTCTATTGGTACAGTCCTCATCTTAGGTTGGGAGTTTGAATCCCCTTATAACCATCTCAAAAAATATATATATATATATATATATATATGTGTGTGTATGTGATTGGTGGTGGATTATGGGGTGCTTCAAGAGACCCAATATAAGGATTTTTGACAAAAATAAAATATAACAATATAATATTTCTACCCCTAGGAAAAAAATCTATCAACAAAATTAACTAGGAGCAACTTCCAAAGATGCCTAGCTAGTTTGAATTGCTCCAGCCTCTTTGCAAAACTCTTGTTTTATGAATTCAAGAGAACCCTACTAGAAATCGGTGTACTAGTTAAATTCATTCTCTGAAAAACCAAAAATAAAAATAATCACTTTCCCCTTATCATCCTTTTGAAAAAAAAATAGAAAAAATAAAAAATAAATAAAACACAAAAATTAAAGAACATAATAATTCCTTATACACAGTTGTCAATGGATTTATTCTCATCTGGGGACATAAATAGCAGAATCTTTATCTGTATTTACTTATTTTTCTTTTTTAATGTTTATTTAGCATTTTTTTGGCTGACAACTAATCTCTCAGTTAATATGCATTTGGATCTTTAATATCTATAATTTCTATCCCTTATCACCCCTTTAATATATATATATATATATATATATAGAAAAAGAAAAAGCAAATGAAACACAAAAATGAAACAAAAAAATAATTCCGTCTACGCATGGTTGTCAATGGATTTATTCTCATCTGGGAATAAATAGCAGAATCTGTATTTATTTATTTTTCCTTTTTTTATATATTTATTTAGCATTTTTTTGGTTGACAACTAATCTCTCAGTTAATGCATGTGGATCCTTAATACGGAGTAACTATTGTTGATGGGTCTCCACTGATACTCATTAGTCCAATAAGATTATTTGAATGTAATTAAGTATAATTTGGTATTAATTAAGTCAATACATATAATAGGTTTTGTCGGCCGATGAGAGTTGCACAATTTTCATGGTGTCCGCTGTGCCAAGCATGATTTGATTGCACTGCAGAGGCAATGAATTTGTAAATATTACTCGTAATTTTTAAGAGATTACTGAATCAGAATCCCTTTATTTATTTTTGTTCAATAATTTTACATCGTTGAAAATAATTTTATATTGCACTGCAGAGACAATGAATTTGTAAATATTACTCGTAATTTTAAAGAGAATACTGAATCAGAATCCCTCTTATTTATTTTTGTTCAATAATTTTACTTCGTTGAAAATAATTTTATATCGTTAATACAACAATTACATAAATATATTAAATTTTTAATTTAAAATAAAATTATAATATTAGAACACGATGTACCAATATGTTACATGAAAATTATATCTTTGATAAAAATGTATGTGTTCCTGTTATACTGTATTTTGTGATGTAGTTAATTATATATGATGTAATCTGTCACACAAAATCCCTTACCGGAGCATGTGGAATATCTTTAATATCTAAAGTTGATATATATATATATATACACACACACACACACATAATATCTGTTGCATGCATGCAGAGGTTTTTGCCTTCTGAATTTGGCACTGATCCTGCACAAATGGAGGATGCGATGGAACCTGGAAGAGTGACATTCGACGACAAAATGGTGGTGAGGAAAGCGATTGAGGAAGCCGGCATCCCTTTCACCTATGTGTCGGCCAACTGCTTCGCCGGATACTTCCTCGGCGGCCTCTGTCAACCTGGTCACATCCTTCCTTCAAGAGACTCTGTGCTCTTGCTCGGAGATGGCAATCAAAAAGGTGCATGCCCACTTTCATATTTTTATTACGGATGGACTCCAACCCCTCACCTCCCTTTTGTTACTGAATGTTGAAGTTTCATGATTTCTGCTTCTAATTAATAAGTAATGTGTATTTTGTGAATATGACAGCAATTTATGTTGATGAAGACGACATAGCCAACTACACTATCAAAACCATAAATGATCCACGGACTCTGAACAAGACATTGTATCTTAGGCCACCTGCAAACATCCTTTCACAAAGAGAGGTAGTTCAGATTTGGGAGAAACTAATTGGGAAAGAATTGAACAAGTCATCAATCTCCAAGGAAGACTTTTTAGCTACCATGAAAGGTGTGATGATCAGCTTGCACTTTTCAATCACTACTACCATCACCACCAACAAATTTCACTTTCAGTTGAAGCTAGTTAATTTTTTAATTTAAACCAATATAATGGATTTTATTTTATTACTAAATTTCATTCAAGTTGAACTACAGTAAATGCACTAATTGATCCAAAACTACCATATATCTTTCCTTTTAAATGGGTTGATGAAATGGTAAAATGTTTTGACGTACTCGTAATCATGATTTGATAGCAACTTTAAAATAATGTCAAAGATTAAGTGACTGTTTTGGTTTGTCACTCAAAAACAATTATGGAGATCGAATCCAAAAAATAAAAACTATTTTCAGAGAATTATAGTAGATAATTATCTGAAAATAAATATTTTTTTAATTGAGTTTTTAAAAAACCGTTTTAAAAAGGTATCAACCAAATAATTTTTGTACAATTTTCTGATTTAAGAAAAAACTAAATAAACCATTATTTTGAATGTCTGCCCAAATGCTAATTCATTTATTTTATTTTTTTGGTGTTTTTAAATAGGATTGGATTATGCAGAGCAAGTTGGACTGACACATTACTATCATGTGTGCTACCAAGGGTGTCTAACAAATTTTAAAATCGGAGATGATGGAGAGGAAGCTTCTGTTCTCTATCCAGAAATCAAGTATACCACAGTGCATGAATATCTTAAACGATATGTCTAACTTTAAAGTTACTTTATTTATTGTGGGGGAATTAATGAATGTTATTTGGCTTGTATTGATTGTTATTGCTCATTGCTTCTAATTATCAAATATTGGGATTTTCTTTTATTATGTTTGGTGTAAGTTGAAACTAAAATGTTTATTTTGGTGAATTGTTTTTCAAATATGAGAAATATATATAGTAAGAACTATACAAATTGTGACTCAATAATTTTTGAAGTTTGCATATGTATCATTTGCACATTAGATAATGGCAGTTTACATTACCCTATATATTCACATACATACAGATGTTGTTTACATTACCATAACATAGCTCGTTGAAAATTAATGAGTAAGCTATTTTGTTAGGTTTTAATATTTTTTTTTCGTAAATATATTACGACAACTAAACATTAAAAAATATAAAAAAATATTTTTTAAAAAATATTTTATGATCAAACAAATGAAGCCTTAATTGTAGACTAACAATTTGGCTAACCTAACTCAATTTTTGTATCATTTCTCATTTACTATAACTTTCACATTCATGACATTTTGAGTGACACAATTATTTCATTAAGCATAAAAGGCTCTTATTTTTAATTCATTACGAACTCTCAAAATGGTCCTCCTTTTTTACATTACGAGGAGGGTAACATCGTCATTCTATTGCAAGTATCCACAAAAAACAAAGGTCCGAAGATCGAAATCCAACTCGCATTCCTGGCCGCTTTCCAAGAAAAAGGGTAGAGTTTGGGCCTAGGTCCTGGGGCCCTGTAAGGCTCGCTTTCAAAAGAGCAGTGTATAAATATTTTTTTGATACAAATTTACGGTGTGAGTTTCTTTCAAGGGCAATTATGTTATTTTATTTGGGAAAAAAAAACGTTGAGAAAAGGTTGTTACATCTTTTGCATGTACAATATACAAATGTGCATAGAATTTTTTTTCCTCTAGATTTTTTTTTAAAAAATCTATAATTCTACTTATTGATGATAAAAATATAAAAAGAATTATCCATTCTAAAGCTCTATCACTCTATGTGTCTTTAATAAGAAAATGACCAGAAAAAGAAAAAGAAAGAAAGAAAGTGATTTTTTTTTTTCCAAAAAGAAAGAAAAATTTGAGCAGGCTACATTTGATTAGATGAAAATATAAAAAATTTTGAAATGTGATTGACTATTTTAGTTGTATGATATAATTATTTGGTTTATGTTTTATATTATTTTAAAATTATAATATTCTAAATTCATTCAAATGATCATCAAATTAGTATTTGTTTGAAAAGTTGATTTAATTTCCAATCAAATAATTTACAAGGAAAAAGAATAAAGGACAATTCTTGCCTTGGCAGGAAGTTCTCCCCCCAATTTGACCTGAATTTTATTTTTGGAAATGAACAATATATATATATATTTCGGAAATTAACATAATTATATAAGATGACTTATTTATGCTGGGAAACGTGCAAGTTTTAAAAACTTTTCGAGGGATTTTGATTCATAGATCTTGATTCATCACATAGAGACAAGTTTTACGCAAAAATAAAAATATGATGTATCATTCAATTAACAGATTGAATACTTACATCAAAGGTCTGAGTAAACCTTTAAAACTTTCCTCTAAAGTGAATGTTCTCACTTATTGTAGATCCCTTAGTAAGATGCCTTCTCCTTGGATCTCCATTTTCTTGGTAATTGTTTTGCCTTTAGGAATCACTCATAAGCCTCCATGAATGACCTTGGAAAATTAGGCTTGTGGGAGCCTCCATTAGGTGATAACATAAACCCTAATTTTCTAGAGAGAGAAAATTTATTCCTTTTTCCTTCTCATAAAAATCACCCCCTAAAATATACATAGACCATGTATATTTATAGGCAACATAAAAATAAAGAAAAGGAAACAACAAATCCTTCTCCATCTCTAATTCATATGTCTCTGTTGGCACCAAAACTTGACAGCCACTTCAGCAGCGACGTGGACCAATGGGAAGCCGATAAGGGTTGAGCATGTCCAAGAATGGTCGGCCAATGGAGAAATAGTAGGAGAAGATTTAGGAGGATATCTATATATTCAGCCACCTCACCAAAAGGGTTGCTACTAAACAACCGAGATTTGTGTTAATTTCAAAAGGAAATTTCATCAGAAATAGAACATTGGGAGAGGTTGGCTGAGGTGACATAATTAAGTTCCTAAAAAATAGGGATTTAATTATGAGACAGGAAATTGAATCCTTATGGAAATGAAATTCAAAAAGGAAGGGGCAGCCACGTGAGTGTATGGGTCAAGGCTATAAATGGTTTTCCAGCCATTTAAGGGAATATTTCAGTCAAAGCTTGAAGAAAGAAGTTGCTAAAAATCAGCAACTTACTAGCAATCTTCCAGCAGCTTTCTACCGACTTTTTAGCAATCAATATTTTCTTCAACAAAGGTATTTTATTTGAAGCAAGACGAAACAAGAGGAGAAGAGACGTGAAAGACTACTGGAATACGACCTATTTTCAGCAACAAAGTGAAGTAAATCAAGGAAAAGAGAGATTTCAGTAAAGACTTTCCCATTGAAACTGGAGCATCGATATTGAAGGCGAGGAATGTTGGGCCGTAGCTCAGTTTGAATTTCAAAAGAAAATGATTGAAACAAAAGAGATTTTCTAGCAATTAATTAGGAGAATAAGTTGAGATAGAACTTCTATAAATAGAAGTATTGTATTCCATTTCCAATTCGTCCAGCACCACCACAAAACATGCATTTCAACTAAAATGTTTTCAATTGACTCTACGTCATTTTCCTATCAATTTCTTTATTGCAATTTAATGGCAATTGATTAGATCATTGTCAACTATTTCGATTCAGCCATTTACTTTCTTTCAATTTCAATTATGCCAATTTTAATTACACAATTTTAGTTAGGCTTTCTATTCAATGGCAATTGATTAAATTTTTGCCATTGAATCGTAGTGACAATTGATTAAATTCTTGTCATTACTTGGCTGATGGCAATTGATTAAATTCTTGCCATTGTGTTTGGCTGATGGCGATTGATTAAGTTCTCGCCATCACGTTCGGCCGGCGATCGATTAAGTTCTTGCCGTCTGTCTTCACTCGGCCATTCCATCCATTCAAGCATTCATCAGCCGTTGCATTTCTTTAGACACTCTAAAAAGTCCTTGCTACAAACAAGGCATAAAAGAACCTTGCTGGGAGTTCTTACTAGTCTCTCCCCCACACAATCGCCTGAGAGTCAGCCATCGAAAAAAGGGATAGGCTGGTGTTCAATTACATATTTTGGGTATTTTGTACAAATACTCTGGCACGCCCGCGAAGAGTCCATCGACCGGCGTAGGGAACAAAAACCACGCGAACACGTTTTGGCACGCCCGGTGGGACCACTACTAGAGTGTTATAAAAGAGGCAAATATGCCGCGGCCCACAAAAAATTCTAAGGCCGTGGCTACTGATGAAGATTTGGAGGAAGGCGATCAGCTAGCACAGGCTGAGAACTCTGCAGCAGGTCCTACTGATGAGTTAGCCGTACTTCAGGCACAGGTTAGCTCCTTGGTAGATGCAATGGGAAGGATGGGAGCACGCTACAACGACTTGCATGAAAATATGTCCCAACTCTCAGCCTTTATTTTGAACAAGCCGACTCAAGCTAGCAGCTCCAACAATCAGGAATCGGCTTCTCAGCCGAATCTATCACAAGCTGCTCGGCCAGAGAGGGCCATTGAAACATCACAGCCATGGCCGCCAGTAGTGACACTCCAACCAGGTGCAACATCAAGTCAGCCGGTTCATACGTTACTCACCTGGGCAGAAAGCTATCCTCAGCCTACGTTGGCAGGTTCTAATCAGCCACCAGTAGTAGGTTCGCAGCCACAGGTAATTCTACCAAACCCTCCTCGGATGCCTTTGAACTCGGGGGGCAATCAGATCAGGTGGAGGCCACCGAACCCACTGTATACTCATGTGCCGCCACAGGTAGGGCTCGGGGGGCAGAATATGGCTAATCAGCCACATGATTGGCTGAATTGTTATCAACCAGCGGCTAATCAGCCGCCAGTTTTTAATCAGGTACTACCAATATTAAATCAGCCACCTCAAGTCATGTTAGATAGAAGACAATTAGTTGATTTACTCACAGAAGAATATGGCCTGGAACTTAGAGGTGCCGGCCGACCAATTTATAGAACTCCTTATCCAGAAGTGGTAGACCAAGTTGAGTTCCCTAGAGGATATAAAGTCCCTGACTTTGTAACCTTTAGTGGAAAGGGGAATCAATCGACCGTGGAACACATTGGCCGATTCTCGGTTCAATGTGGAGAGGCCAGTGTTAGCCCGTGGTTGAAATTGAGACTTTTTCCTAACTCTTTGACAGGGGCAGCTTTTTCATGGTATATTCGTCTACCTCCTAACTCTGTTTTTAATTGGCCACAGATGGAGGAATTATTCCACAATCTTAATTGGCCACAGATGGAGGAATTATTCCACAATCAGTTCTACCGTACGGAGACAGAACCTACTCTGGCCGATTTATCCAGGTTAAGTCAATTGCCCAGTGAATCGGTCGAGACATTCATTGCAAGATTTAGGAGAGCAAGATTAAGATGTCGTGTACCTCTTCCAGAACAGGAGTACATTCGTTTGGCTTTGAACGGCCTTGATTTTGAACTTCGGAAGAGGTTTGAAGGAGTTCCATTTTGTGACATGTATGACCTGGCCGAGAAAGCTACCAGGTATGAGTTGGTTCTCAAAGAGGAGAAAGAACGAAAAAATTCCTCTAAAGGTACGTACTATAGGGACCCCAACTATGAAGTTTATTTAATTGATGTGGTTGAAGAGGAAGATTTTGAAGCTAATTTAGCCGAAGTCATTCTAAAGAAGCCTTATGTATGTGACGCTTTAACAAAACCAAATGTATCCACCAGTGGTACTCAGCCATCGACTTCATCGGCCAGGAAGGGTACGGTTGATACTGGTAAGGTTTATACGTTTGATCTGGCCAAAACAGAACAAATTTTTGATCATTTGTTGGCCGACAAACAAATCGTTTTGCTAAAAGGACACAATATACCATCGACCAATGATTTAAAAGGAAGAGAGTCCTGCAAATTTCATAATTCATGGAATCATACTACTAACAATTGTTATGTATTTAGAAATGTATTGCAGAAATCTATCGATGAAGGTGTATTAAAATT